TTCTCTCTCTCTCTCTCTCACACACACACACACACACACACACACACACACACACACACACACACACACACACGTACAGCAATATTTAGCACAGTTTTTTCCTAACCAGTGGAGGCAGGGAAGGTGACAAGCAGATATATTGAATAGTGGCCAAAAAGGGCAATAAAGTAAACCTGTGTGAAATTCAAAATGTTCATTTTGTGAAAATTCATGTCAAAATATTCACTGTTTCATGTTGCTTTTCACCCTCTACCGCCAAAGATTTTATGCAAAATTTGAAAAAAAAAAAGCTATTTTCATTGTCCACAACTGCAAACAAATCCTCAAATTTACACACATTTTTGACAGAAAGCCATGTTCACTCAAAAATGGATCAGTCTGTACAAAAATGGCCTCAATTTTGCTCAAAAAATAGGCAGACTTCAGCAGAATTTAACGTTCACAATAAAATGTGAAAACCATAATTTTTGCATCACAAATATTTTGCATGCCTCTAGATAGGAGCCCCCTAGAAATTCCCTGTCTCAAGTTTCTTATTACTATTACAAAACATAGTTAATACAGAAGAAAAAGAACTACACGTTCATGGGTTTACTGGGCATGATTGACATGGAATTTTCCCTTTGTATCTAACAATATAGTTCTTTCATAGTAAATTGTAAAGCCTTGGGCTGCTCAGAGCCCTTCACATTTAGGCAGGTTGGTTGTGTTTCAGTATCATTTAATGGAAAAGGAGGAACCAACTCCTGAAGCCCTTACTAAGTTATTCCGTTCTTATTTTAAGCAAAATTTCCATTGTGCCAAGTCTTGAAGTCCTCATTAATCTAAATCTCCAACTAATCCTACATAAGAATTGTATATGAGTAAGGACTGAGTGAGAACTTCGGGATTTGGCTCATGTTGTGTAATGCAGGACATTTCAGCTAGGCAAATAAGTATATAAAACTCACTGGGTTCTATATTCTGAGGTCCTTACCCAGTTTTTACTCATTCTTTACTCAGGCTCACTCCTGTTGGCTCCGTTATTTCTCCCCTGATTCTAATGGACAGAGACAGTCACTTTTAACATATAAAATATCTATTTTTCAATTATAAACAATAGTTTAAAAAAAGCTTATAATCTCCTAAGAGAAAAGATGTGTGAGAAAGAGAATCACTAGGGCCCTGATCCTGCAAGAATTACACACATGCCTAACTCTAAAAGCAATGCAAGGTAAGCACTTCAAGGTAAGCACATGCATCAGTTTTCACAGCGTCAAGGCCTAACTGTGTAGGGAAACATAGGTGGTATTTACCACAGCACGATGCCATCACCAACCGCCTGGAAGAGGTCATCAGTGTCTGGATTCATTGGGAGCACGTGTTGGCAATCAGGATCATTCTCTAGGGCTTTGTTAACCCAGTTCACAAAGGCGTACTTTTCTTCTTCTGCAAGCAAAAGGTCAGATCTATCAATTTGAAGCCTAAAACTTTTACCAATTCTCTTGACATGAAAATCTCAGTTCTTATTAAAAGTGATTTGGCACCTTTTCTGTTACTTATCTATTCTACCTGGGAACCGAACTATTATTTAAAATAAAGGAGGTTGCATTTTTGGCCAAAATACTGCTCTTACTTCTCCTCAGCTTTATTACAGTTTGTCCAAAATATGCCTATTTTAAGTCACCCTTACCGATACTGCAATTCCCGAAGGTTTTTTCACACAGACAGTTACGAAATGATCTCCAAGGAACCATTTAGTTGCAGTTACTACCTATATCAATTGACTCTACATACCCGAATAAGAATGTTGGGTTCCAACACTGGACTGTTCTGAAGTTCCACCGATAGCACAAATCCCCTCCTTTTTATTGATTGCTTTTCTAAAGGTTTTAGCGACATCTGTACTCTTCAGGCCCTGGAAAACCTTTCAAAATACATAGAGTGATTTTAAAATTGCAAGTTATAAAACTAGAGTAAAACTATGAGCTTTTACGTTGTAAGTTTCTTGGGACCATGCTGTCCTCTATGTTTTTTTCAGAGCTGAAAACAATGTGGGCATCGAATGAATAAATAATCTGAAATAATAACAATTACTTGAATGGGCAGTCTGCACAGAAGCAAGAGTTCACACTTGTGGCTGCCTTTGCAGAATTGGCACCTTTTAATTTTTTTATATTTTAACTAATTAATAGGAAGTTAAAGAGTATTAGAAATCTACAATCTTTGTATTTTGGAGACAAGCCCTTAGAAGTTTAAGTTTTGAACAGAGGTAAGTGAAATTCTGAAATTTCCATCCTGCAGGAAATTCCAATACTTTGACATTTGTTTTTGTCCCAGTTTGTGGAAACTGCATTTACCACTGAAAAATCATGTTGACAAACAATTCCAGACCAGCTCTAGTTTTGAAAGTTAGACTGTTTTTTTCTGAATTCCCTTTTTAGAGGATATTCTCCAAAATAACATTTTACTCACTGCAATAAATTCATCAAAGCTGATTTTGCCATCATTGTTTTGATCTCCCGTGGCCATCAAATTCTGAGTGATTTCTCTGACTTTATATCCTGGCAGAGGCAGATTGGCTGCTTTGAACAGCTCTGTTAATTCAGAACTGCTTATGAAACCATTTCCATCAATGTCTGTAAAGGAAAAAAACAGCTTAATGAACCTGTCTTCACAGAAAAGTTTTTTTTCAGGAAATGTGAATTATGTGTAATGATTTTTTAATCTTATAACAAAAATATAGTAAATTATTTTTAACAATTGCAGTGACCTTTTCAACCCCAGGGAAAGTTTATAATGACCATCAAACAAAAAAAGAAGGAATAATTTGCATGTTAGTTGGATATATGTTACAGTAGCAACATGATATGTGGATGTATTTATAGTTTGAATTTATTAAATTTACACTGAATTAATGGTTTTTACAAAATAAACAAAAACAAACTCAAAACCAAAAGTTATTAGCTTTCTCCTACTACATTCTTTAATTAAGGCCCAAAATGAGAGTGTGAGTTAGGCAGAGATTACCCTGTCTGTAGGAGCATTTCTGAAAATATGCAAAATGACTATCCACAAATTGCTCTCGAATGCACAAATTACGCAAATGAGAAAAAATAGTAAAATAATTTTATTTCTCTAATCTCTTTCTATGACAGTAACCTTGCACGTTATGTGGAACAGTAGCAGGCAAATAACAACAGAAGTATGATTATTCCAATATTGTCCCATTCTTTCATTGCTTCTCATTTTGCTTTGGATATTGGTGAGGGTCCTGTACGTGCAAATGTTTAGCCATCAGCAACCCATGGCATCAAAATGCAGAATTCTATGGAATTTAAAAATGAAACATTCAGTTGTACCACAGCCTATTGTGATTTGTAAGGAATTTTTAATGAGGGGATTTATATGTTGAAACTATTTAGATGTCATGTAGACAGATTTTTTCTTTGACATATGAAAATGCTAGCAACTTGTTATTTGTAAGAAACTCTCCTATACTCTCAGTATATATATATTGTCCCAAATTTTGTTTTGTAGTCTTCATTTGCCCAGAGAGAGATTTCAAAGAAGTATATGTTGTGATTTCCTGAGCTGAGCTGGAAATTGACCATGCCATTTGCAGCGAAGCCACATAGGATCTACATTTGAGGCTGCTTCTTAGCAACAGAAGTATGGATTAATATGGGATTGTGAAGAGTGTCCTTTCAATGTCTGTCTCACAGTGGAAACAGAAACTAGTAGAGAGAAGAGGACTTAGAGAGAGGATCAGGACTGGGAGAGGAAAAATGCTTGGTAGCAATGAAAGGACTTAATGGCTGAGAATAAGTGAGCTGTGAGAGACTGAAATGCATATCCTTAGAATCAGGGGAGAAAGATGGTCCAGTATAAGTAGAGAAAAACAGAATGGGGCTTAAAAGTAGAAAAAGGGATATGAATTTAAAAACACACCGAGCACAAAATGATCAAGGAAAAGGGGCTGTACATTTGAGGTTTTTTTAATTTGCCTTTGTTTCAGTTTCCCTAGGGGATGTGAACCAATGTATTATGTTATATCAAAAATCCTTGTTTTGTCTTCTCAGCAATTTGCCTCAAATAAATGTTTGGGTGAAAATACTTTAAAATACTTCATGTATCATTTTCAAAAAGGTTTTCAAATTATTTCATAAAACCTGTTTCACAACTTTCTGTCGTCTTCATTCAGCAAAGGAATGCCAATACTGTACTTCCAGAAAGCTACGGCAGGCTAAAGTGGTTTTCTTTGAAAAGGACTGCAGTTGTATGAACATTACTTCATATAGTTTCCATTTCACAGTATGACAGTACTGAAGCATGGCTCATTTAACTGAAGCTGGTCAGTACAGAGGGATACAATACAACTTCGCCTAGTGTCGTATGTTACATGCTAACTGTACTCACCGACTTTATTGAAAGCTTCTCTTAAGTCTGTCATCTCTTCCTCTGAGATGTGTGCTGTTGATGCCATTTTTTACTTCTTTGAATGACAAATCTGCAGGAAAATGCATGTTATTAGTTTGTGCCTTTTATTTTTAAGAGTCAGAAGTTCAAAGCAATTTCACTTAGAAGTTAGAATTAACAGCATGACACGAAGTCACTGCATCATTCTTTATAATTTACAACACAGTTTCCATCTGTATCCAGTAGTGTAACTAAGAAGTGACCTTTTTTGAATCCTATAGATGTAAATCCACATTGATTTGTTACCAAACTGCACTGTTTTGCCAAGTCCTGCCCAAAATTCTTGTCAAGGCTGGTGAATACTTTTGATACCTAAATCCCGTCCTCACTTGCCTTAATTCTCTGTGGAGGGACAGAACAGAATTATGCTGGACACTCAGGAATTCCCAAAGCCATCCTGCAAGTGTGGGTCAGGATGGCTCAGGATGTTTGGGGGCAAACACATGATTGGGAGCACTTTGCTACTGTTGCCATGGGGGGCAGCTTGGATCACCAATTAGCAAACGCTTCACATTGCAGCATACATGCTAAGGGCCTACTTGGGTCTTCCAGCTAGCAGAACATGTATCCCTTCGAGTGGGATACACTGGCAAGTGTTGTAACAGGGCCTTCATCTTAGCGCTCTCCTCAGCTCGAGGTTGAAACTGTAGCTCTATTGTTTTACCGGCACACTGTGGGAGAAAGAGGCATTTTGTGCCCTCTCCCTCTCAGTACACCAATGCAACACAAAGAAGGATTAGGTTCTAAACACGTTTCTGCCTTCATTCTGATATCATTGAGAATACTGCACAGAGGTGGAAGATTCAGTTCCACTTGTGACAGATGCTTGTCACATTGCTTCATGCACTGCTGAAGGGTGCTCCTATACCATGGTAATAGGACCGGGATTGTCCTGCCCCGCCCCTGTCTTGTCTGTTTATAGTATAAGCTCTTTGGGGCACAGAATGTCTACAGTTCTGGGATAGTACAGGACCTAGCACAATGGGGCCCCACTTTTGGTTGGTCCTTAGGCACTAGTGTAATAAATAAAATATGATTTACAAAATAATATAAGGACTGTATTAGACTAGAATACTATATGGGCCCTAGTTAGAGGATTTGAGGGTGGCTGCTGCAGTTGCAGTGCCCTTATTTAGGAAAGAATCAAAAAAAGAATGCACTAAAACCACTTCAGACCTAAAAAAACCCCAACTCCATAACTTCATTGAGAAGGCCCAGATTGCAAACATTTGTATTGTTTTGTAAAAGATATTCAGGGTAGATATGAAAAATGGAAGATGATACTTGACACATTTGCTACAATAATTTGAGTATAACAGTTAGGCACCATTTATCTGGATTTCAGGTTTAATGCCTTCCTGAATTTATGCATTGATTTATAATGTCAGTAAGTGTGGCGTACAAGGAGAACTCTTTATGGAAATGGATTAAAAATAAGACAAAGGCAATAAAATGTGGTTGGTTCTTTCATCCTGTCTGTCCCTACAGTAGCACAGTTTAGCTGCCTAATCTCTGCAAGTTCTGGATCAGAACTAAAAGACTTCTTCATCAGGAGAGAAAGCTGGTTCATCTTGCTCAAACTTTTTTGAAGCATTGCCTATAGAGAAGAATAACACAATACATAAATAAGATTGTAAAGGCAGGGACTGTCTTTTTGTGTTTGTATAGTGCTTTGTACGATTGGGCCACTCTTATTAATAGTATTGAGAAGTATTAGGGACCTACTGGACAGGAAATCATGGAAAAGACTTATTAGGGCATCTCAATCCATTTTCCAATGCAGGTTTATACTGTCCAGTCTAGATTCGTTATCAAGCAATATGATGTCTAACACTGCTCCAGGAAGATTATTCCATAGTACAATAGCTAATGTAAACAACAATAATAGCACATACATACTATCACACAATTCAGTTACAAATATTGGGTCAAGTTCACCATCTGCATAAATGGTCCCATTGAAACCAATGGAGTTGTGCCCACATATGCTGCTGGAGAATTTGGTCCATGAAGTACAATGCAACCTGATAATAATGGCCACCAAAGGCACAGGTTTCACTGTTATTAATCCTCACATACCCCTGTGAGGTCAATATTATCAGTCCCATTTTACAGATGGGGAAACTGAGCAGAAAAGTTAAATGTTTTACCCAAGGCTACAGAGTCAGTGTCAGAGCTGAGATTGGAACTGCCAGCATGCTGCTGTATTCATACCACTAAAGTACCCTGATGTCTCCTCCCCTCCAGCACACACACGTTAGTTGGAATTTTTCTATATTCTCAGTCTAACTGTACCTTTTAATTTCACCCAATTAATCCTAGTACCTAATATCCCCTTGTGCCACCAACTTACATAAGAACATAAGAACGGCCGTACCGGGTCAGACCAAAGGTCCATCCTAGCCCAGTATCCTGTCTACCGACAGTGGCCAATGCCAGGTGTCCCAGCGGGAGTGTACCAACAGGCAATGATCAAGTGATCTCTCTCCTGCCATCCATCTCCATCCTCTGACAAACAGAGGCTAGGAACACCATTCCTTACCCATCCTGGCTAATAGCCATTAATGGACTTAACCACCATGAATTTATCCAGTTCTCTTTTAAACGCTGTTATAGTCCTGGCCTTCACAACCTCCTCAGATAAGGAGTTCCAGAAGTTGACTGTGCGCTGCGTGAAGAAGAACTTCCTTGTATTTGTTTTAAACCTGCTGCCTATTAATTTCATTTGGTGACCCTTAGTTCTTGTATTATGGGAATAAGTAAATAACTTTTCCTTATCCACTTTCTCCACATCACTCATGATTTTATATACTTCTATCATATCCCCCCTTAGTCTCCTCTTTTCCAAGCTGAAGAGTCCTAGCCTCTTTAATCTCTCCTCATATGGGACCCGTTCCAAACCCCTAATCATTTTAGTTGCCCTTTTCTGAACCTTTTCTAGTGCCAGTTTATCTTTTTTGAGATGAGGAGACCACATCTGTACGCAGTATTCGAGATGTGGGCGTACCATCGATTTATATAAGGGCAATAATATATTCTCAGTCTTATTCTCTATCCCCTTTTTAATGATCCCTAACATCCTGTTTGCTTTTTTGACCACCTCTGCATACTGTATGGACATCTTCAGAGAACTATCCACAATGACTCCAAGATCTTTTTCCTGACTTGTTGTAGCTAAACTAGCCCCCATCATATTGTATGTATAGTTGGGGTTATTTTTTCCAATGTGCATTACTTTACATTTATCCACATTAAATTTCCAATTAAACTTTGCCACCTCACTGTTTACCCCTTTCTCCAGATCATTTATAAATAAGTTGAATAGGATTGGTCCGAGGACTAACCCTTGGGGAACACCACTAGTTACCCCTCTCCATTCTGAAAATTTACCATTAATTCCTCCCTTTGTTCCCGGTCTTTTAACCAGTTCTCAATCCACGAAAGGACCTTCCATTTTATCCCATGACAACTTAATTTACATAAGAGCTTTTGGTGAGGGAACTTGTCAAAGGCTTTCTGGAAATCTAAGTACATTATGTCCACTGGATCCCCCTTGTCCACATGTTTGTTGACCCCTTCAAAGAACTCTAATAGATTAGTAAGACACGATTTCCCTTTACAGAAACCATGTTGACTATTGCTCAACAGTTTATGTTTTCCTATGTGTCTGACAATTTTATTCTTAACTATTGTTTTGACTAATTTACCCGGTACCGACGTTAGACTTACCGGTCTGTAATTGCTGGGATCACCTCTAGAGCCCTTTTTAAATATTGGTGTTACATTAGCTAACTTCCAGTCATTGGGTACAGAAGCTGATTTAAAGGACAGGTTACAAACCTTAGTTAATAGTTCCGCAACTTCACATTTGAGTTCTTTCAGAACTCTTGGGTGAATGCCATCTGGTCCCGGTGACTTGTTAACGTTAAGTTTATCAATTAATTCCAAAACCTCCTCTAGTGACACTTCAATCTGTGACAGTTCCTCAGATTTGTCACCTACAAAAGCCGGCTCAGGTTTGGGAATCTCCCTAACATCCTCAGCCGTGAAGACTGAAGCAAATAATCCATTTAGTTTCTCCGCAATGACTTTATCGTCTTTAAGCGCTCCTTTTGTATCTCGATCATCAAGGAGCCCCACTGGTTGTTTAGCAGGCTTCCTGCTTCTGATATACTTAAAAAACATTTTGTTATTACCTTTGGAGTTTTTGGCTAGCCGTTCTTCAAACTCCTCTTTGGCTTTTCTTATTACATTCTTGCACTTAATTTGGCAGCGTTTATGCTCCTTTCTATTTGCCTCACTAGGATTTGACTTCCACCTTTTAAAGGAAGTCTTTTTATCT